GATCTGAGCAAGGCTCCTGGTTGAAGCTGGAACCAGTTTCGAAATATGAGCTGAAAGTCCCTTTTGAAGGACCGTTCATCCCCTTTCTCTCCTTGCAAACTGCAGATGCACAAACATTTTTACAGGTTGGAGAATTACCTCTCGGTTATTCAATTGAATGTTGAAATGAAAGCAGAAAATAAAAATTTAACTGCACGTCCGTTCTTAATGAGTTCTACGAACTTTTATCTTAAGATTGTTCATTTAACGAAAATCACCTTTACACATACGTACTATGTAGTATTACTGTATTACATGCATAATCAGTAATTACCTCTCTGAGCTCATGTTCCAGCGCTGCCAATTTGGCTAGCGCCCTGTCTGCTCTTCTCTTCTCCTTCTCACACTTCCTGCTTATCTCCTCAGTTGATAGCGCCAGCTCCTTTGTCTTCTCTTTCTCCACTTGGATCAATGATGAAGTCATCTCAAGCTCATTTGTAGCCCTCTGCACAACCCCGACCTCTCTGTCAGAATCGTGTCAACTGCTACTCCAGAAGCATGACAGACTGTCAAAAAAAAAAAGAAAACAGGATGACATCATATTTTCACTGCTGTCAGAATCACATTATGTCTGAAGACTCAGAAGAGCACCCACCATGTCTGTCATTGCACATACCCAGATGTCAGAGCAGAATTGTGTGAGGATGCCAGAACAGAATCATGTCATGATGTCAGAACAAATCATTTCAGGATGCCAGAACCGAATCATCTCTCTCTCTCTCTCTCTCTCTCTCTCTCTCTCTCTCTCTCTCTCTCTCTCTCTCTCTCTCTCTCTCTCTCTCTGCCTCTCTCTCTCTCTCTGCCTCTCGCTCTCTGCCTCTCGCTCTCTCTCTGTCTCTCTCTCTCTCTCTCTGAAAGTGAGATACTGAACAGTGAAAGGCAGAGCCTAGAGCTGCTGATCCACTGCAGGTCCCTTGAACAAGAAAGCCGGCTATGGTGTAAGTCGACTCGTCCACTATACCTCTACTCATCGCCACTCTGCTCTATTCTACTGCTAGGCTGCTCACTCGCCAATCCAGCATCCTGGTGGCAAAGCATAAAGGACCCAACCTCCCCCACACTGGACTGAATCTCGCCCATATACTACCAGGCCGGTGGACTCTCTACTCAACCTCCCTCCTAGGCTGTCGGCTGTAATCTGTTTGGCACGGGTAGGAGGTAGCGCAAGACCCCAGTCCCAAATGTGTGAAATGGGATCCCCTAGAGGACAAAACTGAAAAAATGAAACAACGCACCTGTTCTGTTTGGACAAAACAATGCGGAAACAAACCTGTGCTCTCTTCAGACAAAACAACGTGGAGACAAACCTATGGTTGTACCTGGACCCCGTAGTGGCCAGGTGCAGCCGGTCTGTTCGTGGCTGGGCCTGTTCATCTGCACCAGGTCCATAATTGTTTGAAGCTGAAGGGACACAATCCGGACCTGGGCAACACAAACTGGCACAGGACGAAAGTCACAAAACCGGACTGACACCAACAAATATGCAGTGACAGAACAGTAGTAATCATAAAATAAATCAAATGGACTCAGGAGCAGTGCTGGTACCCCAGATGGACCGGGGGACACTCCCCCGGCCGGGAGCCTGCCGGTTGGACGGGGCGGTCCAGTGGCCCGGCAGGCCCCCGGTCCAACCCAGCGCATCGCGCTGGGGGGACGGTTTACCGGGAGTCACAGGCATTCACACCATTGCCAAGACCCCCGGGGCCCACTGCCTCCCTTAAAAAAAAGAACGGAACCTTCCTCTTGCGTGTCGTGGCTCTAACTGCTTATAAAGTCCACGAACCCCCACAGAGTTGAATTGCCATTGTTGGCCCACGTGGGGGTCTGATAAATAAGCTTCTTAGCTTGACCCCTCTACGTGAAAGTCATACCTCCCTGAACCCACCTCAATAATACCTCCCTCCCCCTGGGAACCCCCCCCCAAAAAAAATTGCGCCTTCAAAGTTTGAATGCGGATTTCGGCAGATCTCAAATATCGCAGCCGGAATCCTCCAAAAAAAAAAAAAAAAAGGACGTTATTTTTTGAAAACCGGTTTTCCGGTTCACACCCCCTTGGCCGGTCCGGCCCCAGCTGACCCGGGTGAGCTGAACCGGCCGGGTGTCGGTCCAGCCTTGCTCAGGAGTCAGACCAGACAAAATATCCACACCCCTGGCCCAAACTCCCTCAGCCAGGGTCTTCCTCATCATGCCCAAGGCCCTTCAGCCGGTTCAAGGCACCAAGGAGTGCCAGGAGGATGGCGGGACAGGCCTGCGCAAAATGACGCGAGGGCCTCACGGGCTCGGTGCCAGAGGCCACAGCATGCTGCGCTCGTCTTCATCATTTCCCCACTCCAAACCAGACTCTTTCCTTGGGCCAGTGGCACTCCAGCGTGGCTTATGCAGAGTTTGAACGTTGACTTTCAAAATCGAAAGTTGTTTGAAATTTGCGATTTGATTTTTATTTTATTTTTTTAATTAAAAAGGCCCTTACGGTTCCGGCTCCATGCCCGTTCTGGGGAGAATCTGTCCATTCCTTTTCCGGGTTTTCCCCCAGCAAGTCATGTAGTACATCCTTGACGCCTCACACTTCCTTCTGTTTGGCCGAAGGACCCCTGAACAGCATTCCCTGATCAAACGGCAATGTAAACGCTAAAGTTTCTGACGACTGTGTTGATCTCTGTAAAAAGAGCAGATTGTAGAATTCATCTAGGAAGATTCTCACGCCCGGCCGGGCACCCGGGCCAAAAAAAAAAAAAAAAAAAAAAAAAAAATTTCTGAGTACGGATCCGGGCCGCCCGGTCAACCAGC